TTTTTAACGGGCGTCGTGTGGCACGTCTGGATAGCTTATCGATTGCAAAGTATTCATCCTGCCATACCCTCAGCGCTCGGGCAGTATTCGCAGTTATGGCGTAAAGCTCCTCCGTCGTGTGTGATTCCGGATTCTTTAGTATGTCGATGTAAATTTCAGGTTTGGTGATTGGAAGAAAACTTCCACTAGGCACGGTCTCAGTCTCGTATGGCCTTGGGCGCTCAAAATCACCAAATGCCTTTTTCCACGATACGGGAAGATCTTCATCCTTTCCATCATAGTCGTCAGTAAACTTTTGGACATCGTTGATATTCCAGAGGGCTCCAAGTCGCTTTTCAATAATCAATGCTTCTCGGCGGCGATTCAAAGCTTCGAGAGGGGTAGCCTGTTCAGCTTCTTCAAGACCAGATTCATTATAAGGAGTTTCATCAACGACATCTCGATCAAGATCAATTTTGGCAGCTTCAGGATGGGATGTAAGCATATGCTGTCTAAGATCGTCGGCTGGGGAAGTCGTATGTGATTTAGAAGACTCGAATGATTCATTACACCAAGAACATTTGAGAGATGGATGTGTGTCAACTGCCCCAACTTGCTGAATAGAAGTAGACTGCAGTGTGGGAGGTTCGGAAAGTTGGCGATGCAATGGCGATGAAGTGGTACCCAGTGTCTCCGTTCCCCGAGTATTGATGTCTATATCATCCTGGACCAAAAATGACATGATGACAAGAGACCAGTCTGTATGAAAACTTAGTATATATGGATTAAACCAGGGGGATTAATCCCCCTGGATAACAGAACGGAGAGCATTTTCAAATATAATTATAGGGAGAAAAATCCCAAGCAGAAACGAAACGAATGGAAAAGAGCGTGTGGGTACTGATGCCAATGAACAGCAACGGGCTATATAGACAAGAGCATAGGGTTGGCCATGAAGTAAAGCATTAAGTCTTCTGCCAAGATGTGAAAGTTTTGAACAAGAGAATTAACAGTGACTTTTTTTTTTTTTTTTTTTTAAGATAAGACACAGCCATCTTAGGGGAGTAACGTTGTAGCATCCAAATGTAGATAGAGGATGGGAGTTGGAAAAAAAAAAAAAAAAAAAAAAAAAAAAAAAAAAAAAAAGGGAACAAGATATCATCATACCTTTAGCTATGTATAGATGCCAAAACTGGGTATTAGCAATCGATCATAAACGAGTCTTAGCAGTAATACATCGGAATACTGTTTAAACGTGGTTGCAGGAACGAGAGAAGTGGATGTATGTGGTGGTTCGAGGTCGAGTTTGCTTTTGATTTCAACGCCAACCGCAAATTGAGGCGTGAGAGGTAGCGCTTAAATTCGACCAAGATTCCGTTCAACAAAAAGAGTACAAAATTAAAATAAGTAATTAAACACGAAGAAAAGGAGTAAACAGGTAACAAAGAATTAATGAAGAAGGAGGATCGAAATAGGGGCTTCTGATCATCACACCTCACAAGGCGTGTGGGCGGGTGGCGATGGGTGAGTGAGTAGTAGTAGTTGCTTCTATCGTAAAAGATTTTTGCAAACCAGGGTAGAGACTCGGTTAGAGGTTAAACAGGTGTAGCTGGGAGAAAGGGAAGTAAAATAAAACAACACCGAAAACAACAACAGGAGAAGAGAGAGAGGATTTAATGGCCGACAGCTTTCATGACACGGATTGCGCCGTCCATTTGCATTTGATCAGGATAATTTTAATGAGGTTGCTGGGCGTGTGGGAACTTGATCTCAACGTCCTGTCTCGAAGTAATAATAATAATAATAATAGAGTCTTTGGGTAAGGCCCAATACCATTAGTTAGTTACAGGGAGATATGGATACAGATCACGTTACCGAGGGTCATCCGTCTGGCCCAACCAAAAGTGCAGATTGTATTATATAACTAATGTTGACAACACAGCGTCAAAAGATCAGAATAATGCTCGCATGGATAAACAACTTTGCCTTTGTCCACCCCTGTCCACTTTGTTCAGGTGCGAAGGAGGAGGGACTTATCATCATCATCATCATCATCATCATCATCGTCGTCGTCGTCGTCATCATTAACGTGTATATGCATTTCGCTGAGGACACTCTGACACAGCGCTGCTCCACTTCAGGAATCAGCTTTGACAAATCTATTATTATACCTCTAACTTAAACGCTGGGTTGTACCAACCCTCGAACCTTGTAACAGAGGCCATAAAATTTTTGAGCTGCAACTAGCTAACCTATTTTTGCTTGGTTAGCGTTTGAGCTAACTTAAGCCAATCGATCATCCCCAGCTAAACTTCTCTGCAGAGACTTGGATCCAACAGAGCATAAATCCGACTCTATTATGAAATGAGTCCAATTCCGTAAACTCTGATTCTAAATCTAGAGTTTACTATAAGTACAATATCTTAATCCACATGATCTCAGTTGAATTTGTTATCAAATAAAACCCTACAAGGTGACATCTGCAAAACCCAAAACCCCTCTGTTTGAAATAATGCTCGTTAGTGTCAGTTTCACCTGTCGAAAAACAAGTAAACGCGACAGCCTGTTTCTCCTCTCTCTCTCTCTCTCGCTAAGAATACATTTACAGCCTATATGTCTGGTTTGGAGAAATCTTATAGAATTAGAGCAAGTTGGGTAATGGGCGATTATTAGTGATATTCTTCATAAAGAATTCTATCAAACTTTATGTTCCTATATTTACTTGTTTGTTTTGCTCTGGCAGCAACAGGACAATATTGACTAATTGGCCATAAATTCTAACATATAAATGGTGTTCGTCATGTCGAACAGGTTCATCGTATAATCCAGAGGAACCAGAGGAACCAGTAACTTCTGCAACTCAAAAAGTAAAGAGTCAGCATGAATTGCCCTTCCCAGCTGCCAGCACGCATCACTCGCACACCCATACACTCGATGCACATGACATACATACCTATTTATTCATTTCCCCAACATTCAACGCAACCAAAAACCTGCTCACGCAGTTATATGCCCCAACAGTAGCTGTTATCTCCACAATCTCCCTCTCACTGAAATGCCTCTTCAACTCCTCAAAAACCTGGTCAGACACCTTAACCGTCCTCGTCATCGCTTCCGTATACTTCAACACAGAAATCTGCTTCGGGGACATCAGCGCCGCCAACTCCTCATCTGAGGGCGGATTATCAACCCCGCGCTCTACAAGTTTCAGCGCCTCGTCCGGAAACCCGGCTTCCGTCAGCAGCGGCGCATGGTGCTTCCACTCAAACCACGCCTGGTTTATAACGGCGACGCGGCAGATTGCGATCTCGCGAATGTCTGCGGTAAGGGAGGTTTTGGTGCGGATAATGCCTAGGAAGGAGTTCCAGCCATCGGCGACGGGGAAGGAGTGGAGGAGTGCTAGGTCAAGGGGGAGGAGGCCTCGTTCGCCGCGACGGGCTTGGACGCGCTTGAGAATGGTTTCTTCCTCTTCGTTGGAGGTTGGGGGTGGGTTGGAGACGTATGTGAGGCGCATTGTGGGCGGTTAGTGGGAGGGGGTGGAGGGGTAGTATGGAAATGTTGGTTGGGTATGGCGATTTGACTGATGTTAAAAGAACGTTTAAATATATAAATATAATTCGACAAGGGATTCAAAATTTAAAGGTCAAAAGAGGAAAGGCAATTTAAACTCACTGCTGTTAAAATCTATTGAATCGAGTGCTTGGAGCATTCGCTACTATACCTTCGGCATATAATGGTATTATTTATGTTGTTTTGTTTTCAGAATCTAACAATCCTAAATGCGGTGTAAGTGCTTCATAGCTGACTCCGCCGGGATAATCCACTTCAATCCTGCATTTGGATCGGCAATAGGCAACATAATACCATACCAAAAATTTTTGCATTCACCTACACTCTAATGTCTGTTTTGTGTTCAGTTACGAATGAGTAACCAGCAGTGTACACTCCATCTTACGGCGTATTCATTCCGAGTTTCGACACTGAAATGAGCGAGTTGGTGTTTGGCAATACATCTCGGCATTTTCACCTCCAGATCGTGTCCGGCGAAGCAAGAAGCCGCGAGCGGAAAGCATCCGTAACCATAGGGATCGGGAAAACATCTGCCCTAATTGGTGTTGCATAACCACTGCTACGGCAATTATTCTCTCAGTTAGTGAATATCAATTGGATTAGATTTGTGGTTCCTCTCTTGTATTCCGGTTACCACTATTGGCTGCGGCCTAGGCAAATTTGACGGGTTCCGAAGAGCTAGCATTATTATTCGCACCCGTGGATAATACGCATCTATCCCGGGGCATGCTGTGAACTAGTTACTGATATATGACAATTTCTAGTGTCTCGGCGATTCCAAGATGGAAAATGCTGAAAATTTGGCGGAGGAGAATGAACTCGTATATTCTATGGGAACGGAATGTCAGGTACCACATTTATTATGGACCTAGGATATTCTCAAATCCCATTTCTCTGCCGTATGGTAATGCAATTACCCTTGGTAACAAAGTCCATGCCGTCCATGACTGGAGAAATGACAGGAGGAGAAAGAGTGTTATCTGTCAGAGTTTCCCAGCGGGTACCTGGCCACTTTCATGCAGAATGTATGTATATACATAAAAAATGATTGGAAAGTGCTTAGTATTCTCTAAGCCCGGCCTGGGACTGCCCTTCATCAGACTTCCATAAAATCGAAACAACAAACAAAACTCAGTCTTGCCGTTCATGCATGCAGCCAACAACAATAAATGGTGGTTGTTTAACGGATGCGCGCCTAATTAATCACGTGCAACGGTTCGGGGCTAGCGCTTCCGCTTCCAAGGTTCGTCTAAATGTGGAGAGACTTTCTTGGCAACTCAACGTCGACAACATGCACCATAGCTTCAAATCCAATCCCATCATATTTGGCTGCTTTTCTTGAGGATGGGAACTTGTCTGTGAAGAAGAGGACATTACCATTTACATTGAGAGTCTCAGTTTTTCCTCTAAATCGACTACTAGTCTAACAACTCTCACCTAGACCACCGGTCATGTCGAAGAAGACTGGAAAGCAAGCCCCTACAAGTGACGAGCTCCTTGCTCAGTTCGATGACCTTGGTGTCGATGATGTAGCCACTCATGTTGTTGGAGGTCCACAGGGGAAGTCGGAGCAAGATCTATTAGCCGAGCTGCAGGACCTTGCCTCTCAGAAACCTCCAACTTCTCGAACCTCATTCACAGCAAACAGATCCCCCAAACGAACTTCCACTGCAACTCCACCCCCGGACAGGCTCAGCGAAGATAAAATGGCGGCACCCAGAAAGTCTGGAGATAGCTCTAGAGCTTACCATACAAGCTTGACTCCTGCGGAAACAACTTCATCCGAGGCTGAATATACTCCTACCTCTGAGGAACCGACCAAGAGCGGAGGGGGAGGCGGTGGCTGGTGGGGTGGGTTGTTTGCTACTGCCTCAGCTGCTGTGAAGCAAGCAGAGGCCGCCGTGAAGGAGATTAAACAGAACGAGGAAGCTCTGAAATGGGCAGATCAGGTCAGAGACAACGTTGGAGTACTTCGAGGTCTTGGTATGTTGCACAATGGATATACCTGTTCCCCAAAAGGAAAACCATTACTATTTTTACGATTCCTTGTACTAGAGAACTGTGTTAATCATCATAGGCGGCGAACTTCGAACTCTAGCAATTCCAACTTTTACGTCTTTCCTTCATACTCTAGCTCCCCCGATTTCCTCTCATGAACGACTCCAAATTCACATTACACATGACTTCTCGGGCTATCCTTCGCTAGACCCATTGATTTACTCAGTTTTCTCCCGGGTAATGTCCCAGGTTGAAGGAGGTGATCTCCTGGTTATCCAGCGCGGTCGAGAAGCCGCCCCCCGACGTGACTCTGATGCCAACGCTGGACAGATTTCTACTGCCGGCTGGAATGATGGCCCGTGGTGGCGGACCGTGTCTGTAGGAAAACCACGGTCCATATCAGCAATCAAGGGTGCAGTGGCTGGTACAAAACTTGCCCGAGCAAGCGCAGAAGCATACGCAACAGAATACTTCTCTACCAGAGGCGGCATCGAAGAAGCCACCAAACAAGCATCCGAGATAATATCCGAGTCAAATCCTGTTCGCAGTAGTGACATATTCCTTGCCATCCAGGCTATTTCCCAACCTACACCAGCAGATATTTTCCAAGCAGGGCCTAGTGGAGATTCAGAAAAGTCAACGGATGGGATAGTGGAGGTAAATGATAATGTTGAGGAGGAAGTTTTCTTCGCAATTTATCTTCATGATCCTATCCACAGTATTGCTTTCCACTCCGTCACACAGGCCATTCCGCAAAAGTGGATTGACTGGCTTGATGCCCCAGTCCCCGATCCGAGCGCGCATAACCCCAGTGATCCTCTCCATTCTAGTGTTCCAGAAGCAATTGCTGAAGTTATCGAGAGCGGCGGCGTTGATCCTCGCGAGTGGGTTGCGGAATGGATAGAGGAAACACTTTCCCTTGGTGTTGGTGTCGTTGCACAGCGGTATGTTGCGCGGAGAATGGGTGTTGGCGAAGGGGGAGTGGCTCGAGGAAAGATGAAGGCAGAGCAGGCGACTGCTGTGGAAAGCGGTGAATGAGATGCAGATAGAGCCATGTGAACTTTCCGCGATTTCTCTAGTCAGTAATTTATTTCTTTTGCAGCTAGTTTGCTGCCTTTTGATTCGTTTTGACTAGGTTGATATTTGCTCTGCTTGGTTAGCTGTGAGCGAAACAGCACTGAAAACCGTGAACGGATAAATGGAGCAACAACTGCTTTTCTCATCATTCAAATTCTATTATCCTGGTGCCATTTCTTATTTCCTTTTCTTAATATCTTTTGACATGTATACCTATTGCGGCTCCTGACTTATCCCCGGCATTTTTCTAGTGCTATTTTCCTTTCTTTTCTCGTCATGATATATTCACCTCTTTAAAACATCTCATTAGTCCCCGTATATACATGCATTCATTTCTTTTTTCTACTTGAAGGGGCTACTTTAATGCAATCCTATGGACAATTGTCATTCTTCATCCTTCATTCTCCACATTTTCCTTACATTCCTCAAGTCCACCAACCCACGTTTGTCATAATACCACAAGCGGGATAACATTGCACATCACGAAGAAAAACGAAATGAAAATAAAAATATCCCAATGTAGCTTCGCTCCGCATATCAGTCCGTAGAGTAATCTCTAAAAAAAACCTTAGATACTCCTTCTCTAGGTCGGAAGGGCAAGTACACTTTACCTATATTAACATAGACAACTGCAGACAGTCAATACAAAATATCGACACCAGCTTCAGATGACAATGCCCATTCAATAGAGGAAATCGTAGATTGAACGATAATTTATGCTCACGACCGCTATCTTAAACGCAAAACATCCATGAGTTTCCCATGAATGGAATGTAGCAATTGCACCTATGCCTAATATTTTTTAGGGTCGGAGAAGAAATCTCAGAATTATGGCAGCGATGCTCCTGTGAAACAATTCAGCGCTCAGGTCTAAGGGAAGCGCTGAGACGTAGCCGCCATTTGCTCAACTTCATCTTGTTCCCCCCTGAATCACTGGTCGATATCTGCTCAATTCACCATGGAGGGATAATAGGTTATGTCTGGATCCCCGGTACTTCATGGAGATCTCTCTCTCTCTCTCTCTCTCTCTCTCTCTCTCTCTTTTATTTTTATTTTTATTTTTATTTTTATTTTTATTTTTATTTTTATTTTTATTTTTATTTTTTTTAATTCCGCTTCCTCCACAGCCAAATCGACTGAGAGGAAGACGGGCAGACACTACTGTGCAACCTTCTATCTAGACTTTCCAAGCGGTGTTTTAATACCACGGTTACATGAGGGATAAGATAGAAGCAATGGGACCTAAACACGTCTCGCTCTATGAAAGATTTGGGTGATATATGTACAGAAAATTGCCACATTCTCTTCTCTTCTTATTACCCAAGAGGTGGGTTCTAGAGGCATAAAATCTTGTGGTATTGTTAACGGATATTTATGGTTATACGGAGCGAGGCAGTGCGAGAAGGAAAGCTCCCCATGAAGACAGGTTTAGCAGGTTTCGAGGGTATGAATATCGACAATTATATTTGTGGAGAAGCTAAATTGTTACATAGCAAGATAGATCCATGGATCCACCGGTTATCTTGGAAATTATTATTGTAAATATCTAGGCGGGGGGGGGGAAAGATCTATATAATCGGATGACGTTTTCATGTTTGTCCGTTCTACTTTCCTAGCTCTTTTCTAGTCGACTTTTCAAATATGCCTTGTTTTATAATTGCAACTCGCCATGAAATCCAGGTGCATGACCAAAGTTCGCTGTAAGAGGAGTCACACTTTTGGCATGTTAGCTTTCAATACGACCTATCATCATCCTTGCTGTGTCGGATCGGAGGGAAGCTGGAGAAATTACCTTGTGCATCCGTTCGTGACTGTGTAAGTATCAGTCCCGACATGGCTCATCTCAACACTTCGTTTGATATCCGAAAGTTCGGGCGCCCATTTGAAATATCTTGTCTGCCGTTCTTTCTTGTTACCATGGTCATCGTTGGGTTGAACAGTGCTGTCATCCGCTTCTTTATAAAGACTGAACTTGGACCACGAATTCTGCAACATGCTGGTATAAGCAATAGGTCGTTCTTCGACATCCAAACGCATCGGTACGTTTATGTTGTATAAATGCACGCCTTCAAGAGGCCAACGCGCAGAGAGGTGCTCAATGAGCCGCACAGAAAGCCGTGCGGCTGCCTGGATGACCTCTGGTGATTGGGCATCTTTGCTAGCAAAGGAGAGCGCGATGGCTTTCTTGCCGCATGTCGCAGCCTCCAGGGCGCCACCTACGGTACCACTGGCTAAGCCGTAGATTGTTGAGACGTTTCGACCATGGTTTGGTCCTGAAACCACGAGGTCGACAGGTCCACGGTCAGGAAAGAGGCTGTAGATGCCCAGTTGGGCACATGCGGCTGGGGTTCCATTGACGACCACCCAGTGGCGTCTGTCTGTGTTACTTTTTCGGACGGAATCCGGGGTTGATATCTCGTGGTGTTGCCAGCTGCCAGCCCCACTCTCCTGAAGACGTCTCCTTCCTAGATCGTTGGGATCGTGGTTCCCGGGGACGACGGAATTGCCACCATCCCCCAGGAGTGCTTCTGGAAGAACGTAAGTCGCCTTTAGTAGCTCCCCGATGAGATGGGCTTTGCCGATCCAGGACCGGGATGAATTGGGGATGGCAACAGAGACCAGATGGCCTGCATCCTGAAAAGCTTTGACTAAGGGAAAGATGTAAGGCGAATACTTTTGTGAAGGTGGACCGTCGTCATTTACTACCTGAGATGACCTCTCGTCAGCCAAAAGGGTTCTAACATTAGTGGAACAGAGAAAGGATATCATCGGGCCGTCAAGCTTCGGGATGGGAACCCGCAAGCCGTATGGAGGATGAAGACATATGCAACTACGAGGCGACTATGACCAACAAACTCGGAAAGGAAACGACATAGAGATAAACTTGAAAGCAAGGAATAGAACTCAGTACCAGGATATGCATTGCAGCAGCAATGGTATCGTTGCTAGCTTTGGAAATGAGTCTAATACGGCATCAAGAGAATTGGCAAGGCTGATGCGAAAGGATTTCAAGGCTCTGGAAGGAAATGATACATTGGCGTAAAGCAGATGTGATGCAGGAAGAAGGGAAGGTTGACAGATATCAATGATGTCCGCTAACGCATTCAAGGAATGAAAAGTGCTCCGTAACTAGCTGCTTGCTGACATTTGAACCACCTGGGCTCCAACAACGTCAATATTTCACATTTTTACAAGAGAAAATTGCATGCTGTTCTGACACTGGCCGGGAAAAGCCCTGCTGCCAAAAAGCCCATTACCAGATTCAACCGCCGGTATGGAGGTAGGTCACACGGCTTCATGCTCCTGCAGCAAGGCAGAATCTCCCATTAGCGGGTTTCTGCAAGCCAGGGGCTTGAGAATTGATGTTGGCAAGCCCCCCCCTCCCTCCCTTTGGCAAGCCGGATGTTGTATTATTATTCCGTCTCTGGCAAAACCGATGCAATCCCAAACATCTTGCAAACCACCAGCGTATCGGAGGAATTGCACCCCAAGGGTCTGAAGCTGCCCGAGCAGGGGGGCTTCTATGCCTTCTCAAGCCACTAGCCTAAATGCGGGTCGCCGGTGAGGTGGGCATCTCTGCCCACAACGCAATTGGACGAGAAATTTTTTCGGGGGAAGAAGCCGCCTGGACACGCGAGTCAACTCCTCTGCTGCTCACACTAACCATATTAGTTAAGGCCGGGAGTGTTGGAAGAAGAATAAAATAAAATCAAATAAGAATAGACATACAAGTCACCCCTCTCCCTCTCTGCCCCTCAGAGAGTCGATGGTAAATCCAGATTCCAGAGTGTGGATCAACTCGTGGAATGTCGCCCCTCAGCCGCAGGGGTCGACGTCACCGTCGAAGCTGCAACGACTCTGCTAATCCCTTTCCATACAGACCTTGCTTCCCTGTGAGCTTGGGCAACTCATTAGTTGTTCTGCTAGTCAATTGTTAGAGTTTCTTTTCAAGCATGGATGTTCAAAGATCTGATGACTTGATATTTTCCCTTCTCTCTCTCTCTCTCTCTCTCTTTCTTTCCTTTCTTTTTTTTTTTTTTTGTCTTGTTCTTTGCTTTTCTCTTGCCTCATCTTTTTTTCATCTTGACTCGTGTCCTTCTTTGCCTCACCAGGCTTGCCCTTTTATATCATTAGTTGAAAAGAGACTTTGCAATTTTTTGCAGCGGTGATCATCCATCATGACATTTGAACTTTGTTAAAACTAAGCTTGGATTTTAGCGCAGTTATGCCTTTATCATAAATTCCACCCCACCTCCTCTTTATACTCATCTCACACAGTCCCCTCCTTAAAACTTCGTCTGCATGAGCTCTTGTTCCTCTGAAAAGACACAATCAAGTCACAATTGGGGGCTGAGCAATATTTATTCCACCGGGATAACCCATTGCGGGTGGATATCCAACGCAAACTAGGCGGCAGCTTACTTCAGCCTTGTCTAGCCTTGGACCCTAATGTGAGAGGTGAGATCTCCCTCAGAAACACCACTCTCTATCACCAGGAGGGGCGGGGGAATGAAACACGTTTTACCCCGCGTATTGGGTTTTTGGGACATCTCGTAGAAGGGATAGTGAAGTTCGTCAGCACGAAGGAATTTGACGTTTACCCCTTTTCAACTCCCCTCGGGCAATTTGAGCTCTTTCCAATTGCGAACGGCGAGTGTTGACAACCGATTTACGGAGCAAGACAATGTCGGATACCAATCCCCTTACGTCCTCGTGGGACGTCCTGATCCCGCAAAGTACTCCTGAGCTCGAACCAAGCCATGATTCTCTACAAGGGGACCGGGACGTAGAATCATATCTCGGTGAATTCGGTTTGCTCCAGCAGCCAGGGCAAACCCACCAGCATAAGATGGCAGGTCGCTTTGGCCCGGCCAATCATATTGACTTTAAGTATGATGACTTTCCCTGCTAAGGTAATAAGGCAAATGCTGAAGGGGATCTCCCACAGCCTCCCAGATGCCAGCATCCAAACATGGAGTCTCGATGGGAATGCCAGAAGTCCCGACGCCGACTTTGGCCCCACAAGCCCAGATACTACCGGAGAGGAACATTGGCCTCTCTACCATACATCTACTTTTCCGGGCGCGGAGCAACATCTCAGCACGACCTTCTTCTCACATTTGGGTAAATTCGACACAGCCTTGCATTGTGACGCTCTGGCTGGAGAGTCCGGCTGCCTACCATCGGACCTATTACACCAGCAAGAGGAACCCTTTGTCACTGACTTTACGGACCCTATTATGCACGCATATGAACTGGAAGCTGCTTTCCAGGACCTACGGAAATCATGGCCTTCAAGTTTGGAGCAAGAACAGCCTCCTTACGCTCAGACATACGGACCTATCATACCAACGCACAATGGCACTGGCAACGGTGAAGAGAGAGATACCTCATACTCTTCTCCATTGCAACATATAGAATTTCCCGGCTGCGGAGAGCCCTCAGGAACCGATGCGATTACTTCTCCAGTTCTGGATATCTCGTCCAAGCTGACTCCGTCGCAGCTGTTTAAGCAACAAGACAATCAATATCACGATGGCTCAAGCAAGAAACAATCGCTAAATATACCCGACAAGGTTGACACGCTCTTTCCTGGTCACAACACTCATATCTTCCTCAATGACAGATCTCAAGGTGAAATCAGTCACAGATATACGCAGCGGCGGAATTGCTCCCCAAAGGAAGACCCACTCCAGTTCTTCAAAATAGTTCAGATCACTCCAGAGAGAGATGCCACGGGAGGCCTATCTGATAATCCAACTCTTCTGGCGGACCCGTCGATTGATACAACCGTACCTGGATTTCCCTCGACAGGAGTGCCTCATAAAGCAAGCCACAGCAAAATTGTCACGGTGACCCGGAAGCGGAAGAGCCCCAGTGTGGGCCTTGCCGACGAGAAGCCTGTGAAGACCATGGCTATACAGATTGTTCAAGAAGATGGGTTAGGAGGGTCATTGGAGCCTTCCGCGTGTATTCCGACAGTGCCACGAGCACGCCGCAATGGCCCGTTGTCTTTCGATGGGCGACGAGAAGCTGCAATGCGGAGAAAGGATAAGAGCGTCTGCGTGTGGTGTCGTCTGGCTAAGAAGAAAGTAAGGAATCTATCTCGTCCATCACCATTCTCATTCTAACTATTAGATACCAGTGTTCTGGTGAAAGCCCATGCGCCACCTGTTTAGAGCAGGCAAAATCCATTTTCTTTGAACAGCCATGCGTGAAAGCGGACTTCTTCCAAATTGTCGAGTCTGGGACTTGCAATTATATTTGTAAGTCGTTCCTTGTTTGCTGCTTCGATTGATTCTATTAACTTTTATTCAAGCCCAACGAGCGATCAACCATCCTACACCTGACGGATCAACACGGGTGAGGATGGAGCTGCCAGCTACATTCGAAATGAAAAATTTACTGGAACTCCTGGACAAGCGCCGTGGGAAATTCAATATCCGCGCTCGTCAATCATGGGGGACCCTCTATGTAATAGACTTGAATGAGACATATAATTATCTCAAAGACCTCAATAAGTCAGAATATAGCTCTCGCTACGATCTTCGGGAGTTCATCGATCGCAAGATCTTGAAATTCAACAAGTGGACAAATTGCGTTAGAGAGTGCGATCCGATAAATAATCTTTTCGTAAGTCGCTTTCCCCATTTCAAAGCCCGCATACACGATATTGCAGCTAACATACCCATCTCATACAGTCCCTCCTATCCCAATGGAATAACATGCCCAGCCGCGCTAGCTATGACTTTGTCGCCATATCTGCAGACCAACCCAACCGTCCCATGAACGTCCACAACCCAGAAGACTCTGTCGACATCCTCCTAGCCGCGCAGCTCTCCCGCATAATCTGTCGCAAGCTCGAAGTGGACGGCTTCCGCGCTCTCCAGAACGCCCTGAACAAAAACAAATGGGACTCCGTCCCCTACGACGCCTTCACGGAGTTTGTCGCGCAGCTAGGCCAGATCCTGCTCACGCTCCGGTGGCGGGTGTCGTGGTGGGAACTGCTTGGGGATGGCGGAACGACGCCAGATGCCAATAAGGAACGCTACGAGGACCGTGTCCGACGTCTCTGCCAGGTCTTGTACTTTTACTATACTTCTGTGAAGTTGAAATTGCCGGCGTGGACGACCCCGACCGGACTTGATGGAATATGGTCAACGTATGCAGATGCGACGCGTATTTGGGATGATTTCCCATCCGCTGCGTCAATTGATGGGTTCAATGCATGGATGGCAAGAGGCAAGGAACTTATTCGGGAAGCTGGCGTGCAGAGCCGGATATCGAAGTTCTGCAAGTAGCCAGAGAGAGATGTGTGAGGGGATGAATGATATTATTCTTCTGCATGTATATTGGATTTTATTTTTGATCTTCTTGTTTATATCTTGGGAGTCACTGTCCAGCTTGTTTGCTCTTTCTCCATTTGTCATTATTATTCCCACTATTTGTCCTGTTTCATTTGCGATCATAGGCATGCAGGCATGCTATTTGCCAGAGGCAAAGTTTGACTGCGTACCAAGATATCCAACCGTCCCATGAAGCAAAGCGAAACGACCGATTCCGAAAATCTCTTTTCCTTCGATCGCGGAAATTTTACATACATGTACATGTTTTCTTTCTCTTTTACTTCTGTTGACATATTTATATTCATGATTTACTATGGCTTTCCTCTTTTTAAAAGATCTTCTCGATTACAGATATTATTCATCCCCTTTGTTGCAAGTCTGAAGCATGTTATTATTGAAAAGCGAAAAATGCTCATATTGAACAAATGCCTAGGCCTATATTTCCATATTCGTAAAACACCAAGTTTCATAACAAGAGCTCACCCATCTTCTTAACACAACCGCTTCCACCATTTTCGTAACAAAAACCTGGTAGAGGTAGAGCACAGGTTCGTGACGAGCCCGATCTTGCCTACCTTTTCTCGTACCTCTTTCCATGAGCCATTGGGCTACTATTCTCCTTGTTCAACTTGTAAAAGAAACGTGTAATTGAAAAGGCTGTATACAATGACGGACAAAAATTTTTCTTATATCCATATTCTCAAAGACCTGCATCACATACGTGACATATAAAAAGGAAGCTGCACACACGACGGGAATTCCGAAACTCACCCTGGAGGTCACAGAATGGGACTGTACGCAGAGAGAGCCCATTGTACAGAAGTAGGTAGGGGTCAAGCACATGCATAGATTCCAGAAAATTGACACAAGACTGAAACCCGAAATTTTTTTCTGTTTATCCTCCATCCCATTTTCTTTGCTCTTTCCTACCCCCTCAATTTTCCTTCAAGATGGTTTGAAAGGCTATCCCACACCGGATATTTCTGCGTCGAGCGGCATATTGCGTTCGGCCCACTACCTTGGAAATTGAGGACTTGGCCTTCAGAGATCTATCCTTGACATGGATGTGAAGCTGGACAGCTATCCAGCTTAGGTTTCGGGTAATCCAGGTCAGAGTGATACGGAGTCAATGGATTGTGACGGATATCTGTCTGCGAAACAATGTTGATAACTGTGATGATTTGACGAAATGGCGAACTGTGCTTGCTGGGTGGAATAGCATCCGAGCGTTGGTTGGTTGTTCAGATAGACATAGGTGTCCGGGATCGGGTTGTGGGTAATATCACTGTGCCACACTTCTCCATCGTATCCAGATTTTTCAAAATCAATTCCACAAGTTCCCGGACCCACTCATTTCTTTCCTTTCCCATCTTTTCCATCTTTGTCCTTTTTCCCGCTAGCAAGTAACTCCAAGTGTCCCGCTCGCTCCGCAAGTGTCCGTTCTGTCTTTGCGGTTAGACCAGCTGAAAGTTTCTAGTAACAAGACCTCGAAAATTAGCAAAATATGATTTCATGTTGAGGGTCACCCTGGCATTCAATATGATTTCTTTCCTGGCAAACAAGTGGTCAGGGGACAGCGCCCTCTGGGGGTGATGTAACGTTATAATTTCGTCGAAGTTGATACCTACCTTGGTCATCTTTTTCTGCCTGATCAAATTTGCTTTCTTGGGTGCGATTACTCGAGCACCCTTTTTGGGACCTAGTGCATTGGATCTGCCACGAGATGGATATGTGTTAGCTCTCTCAGTTTGAACTGATACTTGATTATTGTGGGTAAGGTTGAAAGATGTACTTTTTTGAGGTGGCCGGCTTCGACTTTTTGATTTCACCTTGGGCCATGATTTGTATGTTTACTCCTTGTTTCTGAAATCCGGAAATGAAAAATAGGCCTTATTCACAGGGTGGGATATCGTGGTGAGACACGAATATTAGATCGATATCCGAGTGGACTTGCAAACATCCCGCGGTATTTTAGCCCTGAAGAATAGAAAGAAATTTTTATCCAGGTGGAGAACCACCAAACAGCAAGGTCTTGAGCCCGCCGAGATAAATATCCAAGCTTCAAGGCTTGTATCACATGACTGGTGCGTATTTCCGATTCCGAGAGCGGAGATTAGCGCGAGATCCGCTAGTTCTAAAGAGGGAAAATCCAAACGAAATACGCGCCATGTGGGGTCAACCTAGGCACCACCGACTCCCAAAACACACCACAACAAGACAATCAGCAACATCCGTGGACCGCGGGCCACTCCACCGCCACCCTGGCTGATGTTGAGCAAGCTCCCGAAAACTTGAATCCACCAGCAAGGAGAGGGCCTCGAAAATCAAACATCGGTCGGGGATTAATGCAAGTAGAAATACCTTGCGAGAGCTGGTCCATCGGTTCTTAGTTCTGGTGTTTGCTTCTTCACATACCGAGTCGAGAGATTCTTCCCGCTGCAGCCAGTTTCCCCTCCGCATCCTCATGCAAATAAGTTCCTCCCTAGCTTGTTACCCACGGGTTGCTCTCGCTCCATTCCTCGGTCTATCTCGAGCTTCTGCCGTCTACCATTGGCCCATTGAGTGGTCCCGCCCTTGGATTTGACATGCCGCTACTGGCTTAGGATTTGGATCGATGCCTTCGAAATAATTTTGCTGGATAGTAACCGTCTCTGCAGCAGTGTCCATTATGGAAGCTACCTTGACAACTACTGCAGAGGCCTCTCGATCAGATGCTATTCCCAATAACACTTCTGCGCGCCGTACATCCTCGCGCCATTCCAACTTCTTTAACCCCATTCGCCTGCCATCCGTATCCCCGCCTCAACATCAACCCGAAAAGCCGTTCAGCGCTCAGAATCGACGGCTTCAATTGCGGAACGCGGGTTTTCGTGGTGCTTTGGTCACTTCACGAAAAGTAAGCCCCCCTTTCACGGGCTGGAGATCGAGATCGGTTTCAGGAGAGCCTGACCAGCATCTACGCAAAGAACATTGTGATACTGGAGGTATGCAACCAAACCCTAGCCTTCTGATAACAACATCACAAACGCGCCGGTCGAGCATTCTTCAAGAAATTAATAACACTACACGGAGACGCTCTAGCCCTCCGCGATCGTCAGTTGCTTCTTTATTCCAGGATCTGCCCTCGCCAGATCCGTCATCCGATGAATGTCCCGTATACTCCTTGTCAAACCGCAAAGGGCAATTAGCACGTCCAATTGATTTGGAATTTTTTGACTATAGTGATTCACCTTTGACATCGAAGTCGAGAGGGTCTTCTGCTTTCTGGAGATCTCCCTTCAGCACCCTGAGCCGCCCAAAAAGACGATTAAACATGACCAGCAGGAATGCAGACCTTGACCTTTCCAAATACGTAGAGTACCTGGAAGCACAGCTTGCTGCCTTGTTAGATCAGGCCGAATCGATGGACTCTTCTGCGACGAATGTTCAGGCATCTAAGTTCAGAGCCCTCAATGCGGAATATAAATCTCTGAAACAAGAACTTCTAGACTGGGAGACAAAATTCGAGGCCCGAGTGAAGGATGAAATATGCAACACGATCGAGAAGGAGCCAGAGCTTCGTTCCAAAATCCGAGCCTTGGAACGGGAGATTGAAATCAAAGATCACAAGAACCGCGAGCACGAATGGGAAATTGAAATGGCAACACGAAAACTACAAAACATGGACGCGGTTAATTTGACAAACCAATTCCTAGAGCGGAGGATCGATGTATTGACGGAGTTACTAGCTCAATCTTCAGTAAGAATAGAGTCATCTCCTGATTTGAATTGTACCCTTGAGGCTTCTTCCCCCCAGGTCGGTGAGCACCGAACCCCAAGACCTCGATCCATATTCTCCAAAATCCCCTTGTCTCCCATCCGAAGATCACACTTTCAACACGCATCAGTGCCTGAATCGAATCCCTCACCCGATTCCTCTTCTCAAGCCGATCAACCAAGGGATCGGATACATACTTTGTCAACGAAGGGAGATGGACAGGCAGACGACGTTGAAATGTCTCTCGATTCTGGATTAGGAGACTCATGCTCCTCTCCGTCTACTCATGCGCAGGAATCGAAACGTTCTTCTATGATTTCACATTCCTCGTCAAACTCATCCTCTTGGGGGACTTCATTTCCCCTATCACCCGATGTTCAAGCGAGATTCTCGGGCCGTCAAAGGAAGATGAGGCGTTTCCCTCCCGGCTCTTGCACACTGAAACCACTTATACTTCCTGCTGCTTCTCCATATGTACCTGCTGGCCAAGTACGCAACTATTCTTTTTCCCGGGACCCAATTTCTCCTTTTCATTTACGCTCTGCACGCGATCATGAAACCTCCAGCTCAACTTGGATGGAACCCGATACCCTAAGTACATTAGAAGTGAACTCCCATCCATGTCAATCATTTGATGACGTTATCAACAATCATAGAATTTTGATGGGGATGTCACCTCTTGAATCCGACCTGGTTGATCCTTCAACTGTAGAGTCATCCCGCATATTTTTTGATGACGTTCACTCAAGCACCCAAATGGAACCGCCATCGTATGGTATTCTGGGTCAGGACGATTCATCTAAAAGAACCTCATACCAAACACCGGAAAAGTTCCCCCCTGAAACGTCTTATAGTTCATCTACTCGCTTCAGATCCCAGACACGTCGTAAGATAGACCGGGAAATTACGCCCATGATGACACTAGATTCGAGGGTAGCAAGGCTTCGCAAGATGTATCCGAAAACATGCACCCATACGCCTTCTGTTGATGACAAGTGGGACACCTTCCATTACATCTGGGGATCTGTTCCTAGCACAGCAACTCTAATTAGAGGGATTATTGCCAATGCATGGCACACACATTGGAAAAAGTTAGGGAAGTTGTCATGGTGGGTTCTAGGTCTTTTCCTTGGTGGCCAACCGAGAAATCAATGGCTCAAAACCAGACACCAGAGTCAACTCAACGGCAGCAACCACAGTGAAGCTCTCGGGTACCATGATCCGGCGAACTCCTCTTACTTTGTAACTCGTTCCATTACTCCATTTGTGGATGATACACCAACCAAACGCGTCATCAATTCTCACTCCTCTGATACGTCTATGTTGGCAACTCCCGAAGACCTACGCGCGAACGAACATCTCTTGCCTATTTCTCCAGAGCTGCCTCCAAAACGATCCTTTGAATTATGGGCAAAATTCTCGTTTGCAATTGCTCTCGCTATTGGATTAGCCTTGAGGGATGGGCCTGCGTCATTGATGGATGAGTGTCTATTGAGAGGGTACTGTATTGCCGAATCTACAAGACGCCCATTGACAGACCCAAGTCCCAGCCAGGCGTCAGAATGTATACCACGGATGTCCCCGCCACCAGGTCCTATAAACTATCTTTCTGGCGAGATTCACGTTGACGATGAATGAGACAGCTCTCCAGCCCATTATCACTCTCTTAAATTCAGCCATCTTACCCGATGCTTCCCTTGATACGATTTAATCCAGAGGGAAATAAATCCCTCGTCCGCTCCTTTTTCAAACAACCAAACCCCCAACCAGGACTGCGAACCGCGTGCAGCACATGAAATGAAGGAAACTCCACTTAACGACGAAGATGACGAACACCATACAATGAACCCGATTCTTAATACATAATAAATGACGACTTTTCCCAGCTTTATACATACGGCACCTCTCCTTAGTTTTTTTTGTCAGTATTTAAAATAATACTATACTTTGTTCCAACGCGAACCCGTTTCCTATGTGTGGGAAATGCAAATTTTGCATGTGGAGGATAATGTACGATAAAATCCTGAAAGAAGAAGGGGGTGGGCCGAACATATAGTGCTTCCAGGACAAAGGAATGCACTACAGCAATTTCACCAGCGCGGCCAGAAGCAATAAGAGCGGTGGCATGAAGCATAACTTGATCCTAGGGGGCATGATGGCGTTGTGATTGGTGTTTTGACTTGACATATGTATGTTCCCAGTGTATGGTGAGCTCTGAGATTTGAAAAAGGGTTTTGGGCGTGGGGATTATGTATATATACTACGTATTGTGTTACATGTACGGAGTGTTGTACAATGACTGTATATTTGATAGATTAAATCGATCGATTTGGGACTGAGAGTTCCAAGGAAATTTTAATGAAATATGAAATTAAAACTACAAGTTGGGTGAGATTATGATAACCAAAATGAAAAATGAAAAATGAAAATTTAATTCTGAATGTAGAGCTATGAGCTTCTTCCATCTCTCTTGAATCCTCCCTTTTTAGATGTAATTAGAGCACAACTGTCACATCAATCATCATCATCATCATCATCATCATCATCATCATCATCATCATCATCATTGTTTTCCCCCCTCCTCTGGTTTCCATGTCTCTACGCAGGCGCAGTAGTTAACTATCTCAATCCAGAGCGCTCTCCCCCCTTCCACCCAACCTCGCAACTCCTTCTCCATCAGAACAACAAATCCGCACAGTACCTATCACTCAACGGGCAACGACGTAATCCGTTCATTAACCGTCACATCATTTCTCTCCATGAATTCGATTGTGAAACGATAGGGTGTGCAGGAGGCACCTAATGACCTAATGAGAAGTTTCTGTAGCCAGTTGCAGCTCCGTATGGATAGATCTTCACACATAGTTAACTAGAGTACGAAGATCATCAACGTGGATGGAGTCTCCGCGTGGGATGTGGTGTGGAAGCGAGCCGTCTTCTGCCAGCTCCCTTTTTCTAACCCTCTTTCCCGTACGTGATCGGCAATGGGGTATGGAGTTTTTCTTTTTTATCATTGTTTGGCGTTTCGGATAATTTTCTTTTTATATCTTGAGCGTGGAGAAGCGGGCGAGTTAGTCCTTGCATTTCTTTTTCTTTGCATTTCTTTTCTTTTCTTTTCTTTTCTTTTCTTTTCTTTTCTTTTTTTTGTCTTGCTTCTTCTTCTTCTTCTTTGCCGATCCGAATATTAAACAGTGTGGCGTGATGATCAACCAGGTGCCGACAAGGTGATTTACGGCGCATCATCCTGCGTCCAATATATATATATATATATTTTAATTGGAAGACCAGGGGTTTCGTGGAAGGGGGAATTGGGAATTGACTTGACATGGGGAGACAGGCATTATTGTATGAAGGGCAATGCAAAAGCAACGAGGATTGAAAATCGTTACTGATTGCAATTTGTGTTTTCCGTCCCTTGACTCCGTGATTCAATGAGTTCGTTTGATATACATTCCACCAAAGCAGTGTTTATGTGTTAGTGTTATGGGTTCTCAAAATTAATGGGAACGTAGAAAGGAGGATGGGAGGGATGTGTAATAAAAACATGGGGTGATGATGGGATGCGCGAGCAGGATTGGACAAGGAAGGTGATGTAGGTTAGTATAGAGGGAGGGAGTCGGAGGAGCGATGAATGATATGTGCTATTAGAGGTGGATGGAGATATCTGAGCTATTGGATGCATATGCATGTGTAGGTGAGAGGAGAGGTTCTCGACACGACAGTTGTGGAGGAGTTAACATAGCCTATCGCCTTCGTAATCACATCACCCCGCACTCAAATCTAACAAATTGAGGAATCAAGCAACCACCAAACTAGAATTTCTCATATAACTTATATAGGTCGATTCCTTAGGTCTGTAGCAGGTTCTAGCAGTATGATCAAACTACATTTTACACTTGCTGCAGTGTGGTGAAGCTTGCTTTCTAGGCGGCTGGTTTGAATCCTCTAACCCCTCTTGTACGGTTTGATCAATTGCTTGAGCCCTAGCTATTCCTTCTCAGCTGTTAGAGCTCCATTCTGAGCTATATGTATGAGCTTGCTCCTTCTTACGTCTTTTCTTCTCAACTGCAGCTCTCAGCTCCTTGTTTTCTTTTGCAAGGATAGAGCCCTAGAAAATCCTCTTTGTCAATATGATTGATCCGTAATCTCATGCAATCCTCAACCCTTCGTCTGTATGCTCATTGTAAGGGTCCAAAGCAGCTCACATCTACTGGCTGCAGCAGATAAGATAAATGAGCTGGCATATAGAGAGGTATAATAGACTTCTCTGTGCAGTACTGATCACATTCAGGCGTGCTGTGACTGACATGTTCATCCATAATCAATAGCCTATATCTGCCAATCGTACGAGCCCTGGTTGTACTTCTCAAAGATCTCCTTGAGCCAGATTATACCCAGTTTATCCGTGGTCCAGCCATTTTCACTAACCCCAATCATCCAGCCGAATGGCAGTTCTTTATACCATGAGGCCTGATGGTTCATAGACTTTAGTATAATCATTGAGGCAGCATCCAGTCAGTTAAGTTAACCCACTCAATAACAGTCGCCTATTCTCAATTTCCTGGCTGCAAAAGCACTGGCCTGCCACGTTTCTCAGACCCAGTCATCACCTTGGCTGTTGATATGAGCCCCATTTGAAAGCCAGTCTCATCAAAATTGTAGATATTTTCATCCTCTATGCCATATCTCTCTATCGTATTCTCACCCGTTGAAACCACTCTCGTGCGATCTTAGGATCTTCACACAAAGCTCACTCGTAGTTGTATTTGCTTGAGAATCTAGTCTTTAGCTCCTTATGACGTGTAATGAACTTTCAAACCCATTTATCTCCCACAGGAGATTCAACTCGGGTAGAAGGTAGTAAATCCGCCATATTTCGTACGTTATCGACTCGGGGAGGCTGACCTCTCATCCATGGATACTATCCATTGAACTAGAGATTCTTCTTCCGTAGAGGTCAGTTTTTGACAGTTTGGTTGAACATTCGCGCGAGAAGCTCGACCGGCTAGTCTATAGACTAGAGTGGAATAAGGAACATTAAGTGATTTAGCAGCAGCATATTTGGATGAGATTTTGCCCAGTTTATAGGCATTAATAGCTAATAAGAGCCTTCCTTCTTGGTTAGAAGCTTGATCTTTTGATACGGGGGCCATATTGAATGATTTGATGAATGCGGGTGATTTGGGGTGGGAAGCGATCCGCTCAGTGATCTTACCTGCTCGGCGATGGATTACGTTACGTGGTTTGTTTGGTTGGTAAGTTTACCGGTTTGGTGCACAGTTTGTTTTTTCTCAGAGAGTAAGTTTAGTTGGACGACAGCATGGACTTGAAGATGGAGAAAACTGAAATGCATTGGCGGGATAATTAGTGTAAAAGTGGTTCAAAGGGGTATATATAATAAAATGAATTGGACTAGAGGAGATAGGATCAAGGGGTGATTCATCATCTTTTGCACTCGAGTGGAACAAAAAATAGAGGGGGCATAGGAGGATGACAGAAAGGGCAGAAGAAACAAGTAAAAAGACGTGAAAAAGGACGGCCAGTGTAAGGAATGGAAACGGAGTGAGAAGAAATTATGGAATGGTTTGAAACAGTTAATTGAATATGGAAATGGTTCCATCAATGGCAAGTTTCTGGGATAAGGGACAGGAAAGACGCATTCTGTTTCTGTAGATACATGGCATTGTAAAAAGGAAAGGTATAGCAAGGGAGGGAAAATAAATAGTTTAAAAGAACAAAAACACTGCAAATCCCCCTTTCGCTATTGGTATCAATAAATAAAAAGGATGCAATTCATTAATATCCCATGACAGCAAAAACTAGAGAAAAGAACATGTATCTTCCCCACCGCCCCACCTCTGGTGTTTCCGAATAAAATGAAAAGTAACGAAACCATTCCATTGTTTTTCTGCGTTTAAGTTTTTGGTTGGATTCAAAAGTTAAAAACCATACCATCTCTAAAGTAACCCCGGTACACTATTTACGTCAAACACACTTAGAAAACGAAATCAAAACCCCCATTCATAAGCAGTTTACAAGGCGAACATGACAACCGCAGCAGCAACGAGGCCGCCAATGGCGACACCGTTGCGGCCAGCAGCACCATCAAATGGAGGAGGGGTGGTTGGCTTGGGGCTCGCGGTGTAAGTTGGCTGAACGGTTGGTTGGACGGTGGCAGGACCAGTTCCGCTGGGGGTAACGGGGGTCTTGGTTTGTGGACAGGCGGTGACGGTGCTTGCGCAGACGGTGATGGTGGCGGTGGAGATGGGGACCAAGGTGTAGCTGCTGCTGCTGCTGCTGCCAGTTGGGTAGTCAGATGGTTTAGCAGTTGGGTAATTGTCGGTAGGTTTAGCAGTTGGGTACTTGTTGGTGGGATATATGTCCGAAGGTTCGGGGACGTGTTTGTCGTTCTTAATGCCGAATTGGGTGGAGTATTGATACTGGCCAGTTCCCTCGACGACGATCTGGATACCGTAGCCGGACTCGTCGCCCTCGAGCGAGGTGGGGGGCGTCCATATGTAGGTGCCGGTGTTGCTGACGGAATCGGCAATGGTATCCAGGTATTTCACGTTGTTGCTGGGGCCGCGCAGGAGGAGAAGGGAAACCTTTCCTGGGGTGGAGGGTTGCCAGGTGATGGTGTATGGTTGTCCGACGGGGACGAGTTCAAGCAACCCGGGGCGACTGATTGGGTTCCCGCTGGGGGGTTTTGAGGTGTCAGGGGGAGTGTAAGCAGCGGCAATAGCAGCAAAAGCCGCAACGATGCAGGCGGAAAACTTCATTGTAGCGGTTTGTTGTTTCAATCGGGGATTGATTGATTGATTAAATAGGGATATTCGCGATGGCAGATATAGAAGGATTTGGAGGGAGGCTCAGAAGTAAAAAGAGTAGTTGGGGGAAGTAGATATTAGCTTTTGCGACAAAGGAGTGACTGGAGCCTTAAAAGTAAGACTCTGGAGATCAAAAAAAGTGAGAGGCTGCAGCGAAAGAAGACGCGCGAGAGGAGGTGACTGACGACGAGAGAAAGAAGAAAGAGAAGAAAGCAGAAAAAGCGGACGAGGCAGCAGTAGAAAAGGTGCAGACATCGCAGCAACGGAACTAAACAAGCGCTGGTTGCTGCGGCGCCCACAGGGGCTAAGATCAGAGAAGAGCCTGGCATCCCAGGGGCCAGCCCCCGGCATTTCCCCAGCGTTGGTTCCGCGGCATTTTGCCAGGTGTTTTCCAGGTGTTTCCCAGGTGTTTCCAGGGTTTCTGGGAGATTACAGCGGTATTTTGATAGTGTACTGCTGATACACGTTCGTGCATATATTACCGCCGCCAGATTAGATCGTACCACGGCTGCCGCTAGACACGTTTTAGGCATAGCCCTTCGAACAAGGCTGCCCAAGCTAGCCACAACTAGGCTAGCCCATCGTTTCTAACCGAAATTGCAGGCCTTGGCGTGTGCTGACCCATCCAATCACCACGAAGCGCTGCTCAAAGAATGGTCCTCCGCAGACAGGCACGCTGCCCTCGCGTACTTTCCAGGTACCCGGCAGGTCATCTTAGCCGCTAAAAGAGACATTGCCGGTACTTTGATCTTACGGCGGCCCAATCTCCCCAAGTTTCTCCTCTCCTCCCTCTCGAGAAAGTCCATGGGGCTACCGTGTACGCGGTGCACAACGGTGAATTTTTGACTCCTTGAGAGGGACTAATCACACACTCCCCAGGAGGGGATCCAAGCGGTAACTTTCCATCCCCCCTGCACCCAATTAAAAGCCCTGACAACGCGTAGGAACCTCATGTAATTAATTTCGTCCCGTGACGCCATGGAAGGCAGCTCTGCCTTGTCTGCCAATCAACCATCTAATCCATGTAATTAGCCCATTTCCGCCTCAATAGATTCTCGTATCTTCCAGCTTTTCGAGGTTAGAAGTTAGCCAGGGCTCAGCCTGGAAAGGTAAATTCAAATGGAGATGGAGCGAATGGATGGTGGAGAGCATCTCAAGGGGAGAATGATGATTCCTTTCTCAAGAAGAAGCTGAGCCGATAAACTTCTCCGTAGGAACTCAGAGATCTAGAGGCTGTTGCTAGATGCGCTCATTATTGCCAGATGGGACGCGGGCCGCGCTAGATCTGGATGGGGCAAAGTGGGTGGGGGGAGGGGAAAATGTCTCAATTGAAATCTGATTCCAAAGCTAAAGTAGCTCCATACTCCATCATAAGTGACCGCCACAACTGTATCAGAGAAATGGCATTATTAAAGGCAGTAATATTAATAGTTGTTGATGACAGCAATTTTGCAGTGCCATAGCGCATGCATGGATACACACCCTTTGCGTGGATGTGTCATAAGAGTGTGTGTACCGTGCATACAGTGCTATGCACCTGATTCGTTTTCAATTTGATGCTCATCTCCTAAGAAAATAAAAGCCGCAACTGGCGCTTTTATAAAAAAGAAAAGAAAAGAAAAGAAAAGGATATGAAATGAAATGGAATGAAATGGGAGAAATTCGTTTGCTTCTTACTTAAATGACCCTTTATCTCCCCAATCCTTGGTTGTAGTTATGGATGAGATGAGAGCGTACTCCATAGGCGCCGTGCAACCGCATCCATTTCTTCGCCATGTCAAGGGAATAAAGCTTTGCATAGATGCGGGAGCACCCTTCCGGAAAAGTGCAATTCAATTCGACAGGCACAGGAGTGAGGTTTTGACGGGGTTACAGGTGAACGTGGTTTTAAAAACGTTAAATGTGATATAAGTTGGGCCCACTTCTTTTTAAGCCATGATTAGTCGAAAAGAAACACAACGCGGAGTGACCACACATTACTACAACTCTATTTAACCTCACCCCCCTCAACTCAACCCTAGGGAAGATTAGGGGTTAGGGTTAGGGTTGGTTAAGGTAAGAGCCTGAGATATATGATAAAATCACTACCGTCAAGAGCATATAGAGATGTGTGTGAGAATATGTGTGAGAGATGACAATGTATGTAGTTTTAAAAGGGGGGATTGTCGGTCTGAATGTTTATCTAAACCACGCGGAATGTTTTTTCCGGCCGACTTGAAAACCAACATTCAACCGTACGTCCGTCCCGCTACCAGCACACAAAAAACACATCATGCATCAATCATTCTGGTGACGGTGCTGTATTATTTATTGTTTGGCTGCGTGTAATTTATTATTAGTTTAATTCACTTTCAGAGAATACTTGGACTTTTTAAGCCGCTTCAGAACGATTTCGCCTGACCCGGGTTCGGGAAACCCCTTTCTGTGACTTTGATGTAATGTTGAGGATATCATAGTGGGAATTCTCTGGGAAATCTCTGAGCATAGTTAATCGTATATCTTTTTGGTAATGACCCCTGACAGCACTGTGGGGAGAATTTCAAATTATCCTACCAGATAATGATTGATTCCCAAATGTGATGAAATGAAATGTATTTTGCCGGGTGGATGCGGCGCCATCAAATGGCACTGGGGCAACCCAAATACAGATATCGGTATTGATAGGTTACGGCTTACTGGTATCGTCAATTTTACCATGCTATCTTGTCTTGTGTCAGCAACGGCGATACCCCTAGCTATTTGCTCCCGTGCCGATGCGGCTGAATCCGACAAACGTGTGGGTGGATGAGCCCGCGACTTTTAATTTCTTTTTTCTTTTCTTTTTTGTTTTTTCGGCTTCTCGCTCTCTTCCTCCCATTGGACTCCACCTTCGCTTCGGGGAAGTTTGTTGGGCATCGCGGCTTGCACGTTGCGGGCAGCATGAGTGGGTGAACAGAATGGCGGCAGCCTCTCGTTGGCTTTGAAATGCCAGCGGCGACACATGGATGGGAGGGCCACGGGCCACTCGTGAGGAAAAATAGGAGTTTCTTAGCTTGATTGCTGGCAGGCGGATATAATAACTACACGGCATGAGAGACTGAAGCGGAAAAAATTACGCCATATTTTTTGTTGAAAAAGAAGCTGGACATCCGTCTTTTCAACCAGCCAAATGGAGGGTCAAGGTTGACTTTCCTTGATCGTCAAATGGCAGTGTGAAACTGGAGAACTAATTGGTGACCAGTAAGAGGCCATGTCTGGGTTTCGACCTCCTGCAACACCTGAAGGGTGGTTTTCAATTCATGCAAGTTTGGCTGAACGAGCATGAACGCATATTGCTGCTGTTGGAACATGAGTATAACCCTGGATTGGTCAAATCTGGTTGCAGCCACCTGAAGGAGAAACGTGCGCTTCGCTAAAGAGACCAATGATACTCCGTATTCAGTGCCTGTTTGCATGATTGTTCTCCATGGATGCCAACTTCTTTTTCTTCAAAATATGGACCTTTGAGCGAGGGTTCTCTTACCTTTGGACACGTACCTGAGCTTCTTGATGATAACCAGTTGACAGCTGCAAGTTCCGCCATTCCCAGTCACAGAAAATCGCAGCTCCCCAGAAGAAAAGGGATATCCCCCATTTTTGAACATCGATGTTGGTGGGAATCTCCGCAGCATGCATCAACCGACCTAGATGCATTGATTTTGCAACTTAACAGTCTGCTCAAATTTTATCCCTTCTGTTCTCAACTTCATTGATTTCATTTCAAACATGTTTCTTTCCAATCGCAATTTGCTATGCCCGCCTTTGATGCAGTTTTATGGATGCTTTGCTTTTCATAGTTTATCTTTTTTGGATGTTTCCCTGTGCAACACGCCTGCATGTGTTCTTACGCACAAGTAACAGGAGTATGGACCATTTCATTGCATTTTATCCCGTACATCTGTGGGAACTTCCAATTCTTGACGCGTCTCGAACAGAGCGCCTGTCGTGATTGATCAAATTCGTTCTTCAGAGCATTTTCTGACTATTTTTTTGTCAAAAATTCCTTGATCCGGTATCTTGCTACCAGTTACCGTTTACGACTTGATGCTCATGAACAATATCGGAAGGGTGGGCAATCTCCTGCGTCAGATTTTCGCCTTTGGAATTCAAGGCTGGATGATCAGTGCCAATGATAAGGGTCTGAGAATATTCCGAACTTCACCCCCATCTGCCAATCGCCAGGCGCAATTTTGCATCTTCGAATGCATTTTCCTATAGCATCATCGAGCCCTGCGGGACAGGTATAAATAAATCTAGTCACCAGCCTGTACTATGTATGGCTCGCCATGTTGTCCCAGTATGATTTATATGAATATAATTTTTCTCAGAAGAAATATCCTACCATTCACCGTGTGTCGTAGGACGTGAGCCTAACTCTGATGACCCTCTCTTCAAGGATATACTCAGTGTTACCTATAAGGTGTATGTCTTCTGTGCAAGATAATGCATCCACGCCTCATGAATTTGTCCATTAACCCAAGTTCAATATTTTGTCATTCCGCAAGAGGATGACTGTTGGGATGGGGATGAGAGTGACAGAAGAAGATCTGGTGTATTTTATGTCTTCCTGGAAGGTACATGGCCCTAATGGGGTAAGGACGCTGGGTTGGTAGTGGCGTGGTGACAGCATATATATATATAGGCCTTTTCCACATGCCCGCCTTGTTGAAAAGCGGCACTCTCTCCTCTGGTACTGGAATTCCTCTTCTTAACAAGTGATCAGGAGTATTTTGGTACAACTAGAATCGCACGCGCTCAATCTCTCTTCTCATACGCGACATGAAAATAAATAGCCTCGTCGTTAATTCGTTTATGTATAAAACAACCATGAGCTTGGTAGTAATACATCACGCTTTCGTCCTCCCTTCTAATCGACCCACGTAACAGACTTCGTAGTCAGGAACTCATCAAATCCAATCGCGCCACCAAAACGGCCAAAGCCGCTGCTCTTTACGCCACCGTGGGGGAGACTGGGTTCGTCGTGGATGGTCATAGAATTTATATGCACGCCCCTAGTTACCAAGAAAGGAGAGCGGCGATGAGCAACAGACTACTGATGGATGTGAAAGCAAATGCAAAGAGAAACACTCACCCAGATTCCAGCTGTCTCGCAATCCGTAAGCCTCTTCCCAAATTCTCCGTAAACACGGACGCAGTAAGTCCATATTCAGTATCATTCGCGAGTTGGATAGCTTCCTCGTCTGTATCGACAACGAAGAGTGATACGGTAGGCCCGAACGACTCAGTCTTATAGATATCCATGTCTGGGGTTATATTCTCGAGTATGACGGAGCGCATCCTCGTGTTTGGGATTTCTTCACTGCTGATCTCATCACCCAAAACAATATTGGCACCTTTGGCCACAGCGTTTGAGACAAGGTTCCTGTTTTTGGTGACACCTGCTGAGTTGACGAGGATTTGTGCTGACTGGAAGTTGCTCACAGCCATAGCTTCGCGGAGGTAGTTGCGGAAGTCATCGAAGATGGGTCGTTGGACGATTATGCGCTCGGTGGCCATGCAGATTTGGCCGCCCTGTAGATTTCAACTTTTGTTAGTCGTCGTTTCCAAACCTTGAGATGTAGCTAGCTAACTCTTTCTCCTAGAAGGGGAGTGGGTTGGAACCCGTACGTGCAAAAATGCGGCCAAGATGCAAGCATCCGCCGCCTTCTTCAGATCCGCATCGTCCAACACAATTGTGCTCGCTTTTCCTCCGAGTTCGAGTAGCACTGGTTTGATATATTTCCCAGCAGTGGCGGCAACGATGCTTCCAACGTGTGTGCTGCCGGTGAAGTTCACCTTTCGGACAGCTGGATGTGCGATCAATGCTGTCGTGACTTCGGCTGCATCTGCTGGCCGATGATAGAGAATATTAAGACAACCAGGTGGAAGCCCAGCTTCACGAAAAACGTCCCAAAGAGCCCAAAAGCATTTCGGGGACAGTTCGGAACCTTTAAGCACCACGGTGTTACCGGCTGCTAGAGGTAGAATGATCGACCGCAGACCCAAGAGAAGCATCGCATTCCTACAAAAAACATGTATTAACAATACAATCGCATCGAAAGGATATATAACTGGAAAGTAGAGAGAATAGAAATTAATGAGGATACCATGGAGTAATGCTGAGAATCACCCCATATGGCTCTTTATACACTATGCCGCTCTGGCCTTCTTCCTTCAGGATTGGCACCGTACCAGCCTCTATCGTGGTGGCCCTTGATGCTACATCCTTCAGCAGATCGAATCCGATCCCGTAGTTGATTTCACCGAAGAAACGAGTGGATCCAGTCTCTTCTTGCGCATATCCTATCAGCTCTTCTTTGCGTCGTTCGTATATCCCGACGACTCGTAACAGGAGATCTCGACGAGCCGTGGGTTTAACCTTCGACCAGGTCTTAAACGCCACCTTCGCAGACTCAACCGCACGAACAGCATCTGCAACGGAGGCAGCGCTGGATTTGTGAACCACTTCCCCAGTGCTTGGGCTGATGACGTCAAAGGTGTCTGTTGTAATAATTGGTTTATTATCAAGAATGAGGGGGACTATGTCGGATGCCATTCTCGCGGTTTTCTCTTCGATGTATGTTGAGGAGGATTGTCGGTCGCTTCTCCGGTCTGGTTGTTCCTCACAAGGTCTTTTTGCTCATGGGATCTATGTCTATTTATTCACAAGTAAAATCAAGATTGACTGAAACATTGGGCCGTATCAAAACCACGTTAAGAAAATGAGGGGGTGCGGAATTTTCAACCACTATCGCAGCGGTACAGAAATTGAGATCCCTGAAAAAGTGCCGACGTTGCAATCCGAGGAGTTTCTTAAGCTGGTGAATATTCCGTAGTGTCAACTATTTCCAAGATGTTGCCGCCACTAATAGGACATAATGATATGATGGTGAGGGGTCAAATTTAGACCATGAGCTTTTTTTCCGTTTCGACTCTACCACTTTTGAAGTCAACGGCGTCCTATCTCGAACCGATCCGGGGATTTGGAGTGGCAGCAACCATAGATCCAAAACCGTTATTATATATATCATGGCGGGGACCGAACAAGCATGCTGATCCACGGATAGTGATCCACGGAGAGATGGGTCCGTCCAGCTGCCGAAATTTGCCCGCACAGCTTTAGGTTGGCACATCCATGGATGATGACTTTTAGCTTGGGTTTGGATGACTGCATCCACCGTCAGATCAACCTCTTGGCTGGAGTCGATTGACAGAGGGATTCCCGTTAGATAAGATTTTGTACAAGATCCGCCTGCTTTTAGAGCAGATGGAGCTCATATTTTGGAACAAAGTGTTCGAGACGGAACAAAAACAAAAGCCAAAAATGTTTCCACTGTTCCCACGAAGCAAAACCTGAGTACAAAAGGAGGGTTGTTATTGGGGTGCATCTTGTTGATCAGCAGCATATTTTGGATCTTTCAAAACCTTCGAAGCATGAAAACCCTTGAACCCTGGACCTTAACTATTTGATTACCTTAAAGCCAGAATAAAAATCCAAAGGAACGTCTTGATGAAAAGATGCAGTGCACTCGTGTCAGGATGAGGCCCACAGGCTTCAGTTCTTGGTAAAGGGGGCCGGCCGCCTTTACCGGTAGCTCCCTAACTAACGCAGACGCCGCCATCGAGTTTAGTAGAGTTAGTGACCCAATAGTCAGTCAGTCAAGCCTTATATTATGGGGATCGGGCTTTTGTGACTTGCGACTTGCGATTTGCCACCATATCAGCCATGGGAAACTTTGCACAAGATCGAGTTATGTCTGAACTCCCCAACATGCCCACGGAGCGTTCACGGCACACTCTGGAAAAGTCCCCTCAGGAACCCAGCTTTCTGTTGAGATCGATCGTATTTAGAAGTGGAGTTTGACAGGTAGGAAGCTCCTGTTATCTTGAATGCTACGGAGTACTGAGATCGTACATGTGCATCCAGCGAAATCGTTTGCGCCCCAACGTGGCCGTGTGACGCCGTTCCCCTGAAAAATTTGGCAAATGCGCCCTCGAGGTGTAGGGTGTAAGCTTGCAGAGAAAAAGCAACGACTCACTCAGGGGCTGCCGCTAATACAACATTTATTTATCTCTTCTTTTATTTATTAGTTAATAATTATTTCATTTGTTTATTTTGCTCCCGGAGAAGCTAGCAAGTTTGCCCAGAATTCCCCGTTGAAAATGCGCGCGCGTATCGTGATTCATCGATGATCGACTTTCTCCTGATGACATGACCAACCCACCCATCCAGGAGCCGGTGGGAATCTCACGTTGTGATCCCCTGCATAGTACAGCAAGCCCTGGCACCAGCCGTTAATCTTTTTCCTATTTGCGGATTTTGGCCTTTTCGAGGCTGCTTTTGGCTGAGAGCTATCACCCGCGGACCCATCTTAGAGCTCACTTGGGCCACTCCATGTTTCCATTGTTGCAGGATGTATCAACAATTATGGACCTGCACAGATGGATCTACGGTGAATAAATATCTACTGTCTCCTCCCTATTTCCCTCCTCCTTGTTTTTACGGATTTTCAAGGTTTTGGTGGTCATAGGCGTCATGAATCTTAGCTCTCTCAACCTGGCTCTTGCCAGCTGTGTTCTCGCATGGGTTTCCCTGGCATCCGCATCATCTCACGTCACATCTCACATTGTACCTCGTCAAGCAAAGTCAGCAATATATGGTGTGAATCTCGGCGGGTGGCTATTGCTGGAGCCATGGATCACGCCCTCCGTCTTCGAAGCAGGCGGGAGCAGCGCCGTCGATGAATACACCCTGAGCAAGAATCTCGGCAGCAATGCTAAAACGCGCCTTTCGAAACATTGGAGCACCTTTATCACTGCAGACGATTTCAAGCAAATTGCTGCGGCGGGGTTAACCCATGTCAGGATCCCGATCGGGTACTGGGCAGTATCTCCTATAAAGGGCGAGCCATATGTACAAGGTCAAGTAGAATATTTGGACAAGGCCCTTGTCTGGGCCAAAAACTCAAATCTGAAGGTCGTCATCGATCTCCATGGTGGTAAGTTACATATTCCCTGCAAAGTGAGCATACTATCGACTCTCATCCATTATTAACTAGAATATCTCACTCCCAGCGCCCGGTTCCCAAAACGGCTTCGACAACAGCGGTCGCCGTGGCCCCATCAACTGGCAAAAGGGTGACACAGTCAAACAAACCCTGGCCGCCATCCGTGCTCTCGCAAACCGTTACGCCAAGCGTACCGACGTCGTTAACTCCATAGAACTGGTCAACGAACCCTTCGTCCCAGGAGGCGTGCAGCTGGACCCACTGAGGAAATTTTATAAGGATGGATATGCCATCGTTCGTGGGGTAGACAGCACCGTCGGCGTCGCAATCTCGGATGGTTTTCAGCCCCCGCGCTCCTGGAACGGCTTCATGGCGCCCAAGGACTTCAAGAACGTCCACCTCGACACACACCACTACCAAGTCTTCGATGATGCCTTTAAGACCTTCACCATCGACCAGCACGTGAAGCTTGCATGCTCGCTGCCTAAGGACAGACTTAGCGGAGTCGATAAGCCGTTGATTGTGGGCGAGTGGAGCGGTGCCATGACTGACTGCGCCAAGTATCTAAATGGGCGTGGCAGGGGTGCGCGATTTGATAATTCGTACCCTAGCGGCAAACCATCTGGCGCTTGTGGTGCGAGGTCTACGGGCTCCTCTTCCAAATTGTCCGCTCAGCAGAAAAAGGATACTCGTCGGTATATTGAGGCACAGCTTGATGCTTTCAAGGTCGGGGCTGGATGGTTCTTCTGGACATGGAAGACGGAGGGGGCGCCGGGATGGGATATGCGGGACCTTTTGAAGCAGGAGCTGTTTCCGCAGCCGTTCTCGGCTAGGAAGTATGGTGGATGCAAATGAGGGGACTTTTTACGGCTTGGAGGGTGGGAGAACGGCTGATTATTTACGTTTACATCTTTAACTTTTAATAGAAAATGGAAAGGCTTAATTGAACACTTACTAGTTAATTGACATTTACATTGCTTTTCACTACTATCTCATTTGTGTTGTCGAGGGATGGAGGGATGGTATCTATCCGCTCTGTAAACATCTGAGAAAAAGGGGTAACAAGTAACCTGGGGCTCAAAATTCCAATCTTGGACATCGACCTACTGCAGGAAACCTTAGCATTTCCCTTAGAATATCTCTTTAATAATTTAGAGGGCGTTAATTCATTTGATTTTCTTTCTTTTCTCTTTTCTCTAAATCCGCTATCTGGCTAAAAATTTTCTATCTTCTTCCTTCGCAACAAATTTCATGTGGCTAAAGAAAAAGGCTAAAATTGTACGATATTGGGACTTCACAGCCAATCAATCGCATCCCGACTCCTTGTAATACGATTTGACAATTTTGAACGATTTCCAGACCAAAAAAAGCCCCACAATCCATACTCGCAAATACTCACAACACTCCCAACTCACCAAACCCATTCACAACCTCACGATCAACATTTACCAACCATTCATCCCTAAACTTGTCAATCCCACCACACGCCCTAACAACTCCCCGCAGATTCTCCGTGACAAAATGGCGTAAATTGATTTTATGTATAGGGTCCGCATTACTCCATGTCCTCCGCCTTGTGGTTTCAGGAGGCTCGTTGTCCTGATATTTCTCATCGGGTTCGCCTGTGACCGATCCTGCGTTCCAGACAATAAGATAATCACCACCTCGGGGATCATTAGGGTCATAGGACGTGCCTTCGGATAGTTCTCTGATAAGGTCAGTCCATACGACGAGGTAAGACTGCAGGTGGTTTAAGAGGAAGGCCGGCGGTGGAGTTGAGGGCCCGTTTATGGAGAGGAGATGCGTTAGGGCCAGGGCGTGTAGCTTTTTGCGGTTAATGTCTCCCATATTGTCGAAATGGGAGAACCATTCCATCAGTATCCAGTTGACGGTTTCTTCTTCGGATGAATGATCTCTGGAGGAAGAGGCAGATGAGATGAATATTTTGGGGCTTGCGAGGGCGATTCTAGCGAGGACGGAGAAGTAGTCTGTTTCAACTACGCCGGAAACGGCAGAGGACTTCTTTTTTGGTCCGGTGGTGAGATTAGCTTCGTAGGCTTCATGGAGACCGGATAGAAGTGTTGGGAGGAACGAAGAGTCCATAAGAGACTTGGCGACAATAGTATACGCTTGTTCGTTTCCGGGGTTGACGAACTCTATCGCTCGAATCAGCATCTCGACAAGATGGGGAACAACACCAAGGCGCTGTCGTGTAGTTGAACCGAGAAGAGCTTCCAACGAAGCTAGTAAGCGGAATCGGATATGATCACTGAGTACTTCCTGGGGCGAAAGGAGAATATAGGATTCAGTCACTTCTAGAGCTTGACGGACACATTCGGTATCAATGTCTAAAACAGGGAAGAGAGATGGCATCAGGTGGAGTA